GAATGTCTGTGTCTGTGTGTCTGTGAGTGTCTGTGAGGGTCTGTGAGTGTCTGTGAGTGTCTGTGAGTGTGTGTGTGTGTGTGTGTGTGTGTGTGTGTGTGTGTGTGCATGTGTGAATCTCTGTGAGTGTGTGTGTGTGTGTGTGTGTGCATGTGTATGTGTGAATCTCTGTGAGTGTGTGTGTGTGTGTGTGTACACTGAACGTCCAAATTAATGTAGAAACAAACATTTTTATATTATAAAAATTTTATATTAAAAAACGTTTATATTATAATATAATTAAATATTAATATTTTAAATATCTGTATAATGGCATCCTTTAAATAAGTACTATAAATGAAAGCAAAAATCCCAGATACCGATACTGATACCGATACCTCTCTTAATTATGTATATAAAAAAATACAATTTCTATTCTATTTTTAAATCAATACTCAATTTGATCAAATGAGTAAACATTGACAATTAACATTACAGTAAATGTAGTCTGAACTGAAGTTACATATAACTTAAAATATACATATAACTTCTAGAAATTACATATAAAGTGTACTTAAGTCCTATGTAAGTGGGTCAAAATCACTCTAAAGTTCAACTAACTGCATTAAATATAAATTTAAACTATAATACATTTTCATTTAATTGCAATTAACATGCAATTAAGTGTCTGAAAAGATTACATTCAGTCTATTCTTTTAAAGTATATTATTTCCTTTTTAAAAGCGTACTAAAGTGTGCTTCTGTTTGACGAACACGTTCTCATACCCAGACTGGAGGTGCCCTTGACCACAGTGATGGTCCTCTCGAAGCTGCTCCCCGCCGCCGCGTTTAGCTGCTGGGTCTCGTCCGCCGGTTTATCTGAAAGCAAATCCTCCTCCTGAGAGGAGAAAATGTCAGAATCCTCATCAAAGACTGAAGTCAAGGACAGCGAGAGAAGAAAGAGGTCAGCAGGATGAGCGGGATTCTGAGGGTCTAATATAAAGGTATTCTGAGTGGGTTCAGTTTGATGCCAGCACGATTTGGGGAAAAATGTAATTGCAATTGTTCTGATCAAATTTTTAAATGCTATTATTATTATTATTATTATTAACAATATAAAAATGACAGACATATCACTGTTACGACAGATATATATGTGACCCTGGAGCACGAAAGCAGTCTTAAGTCGCTGGGGTATATTTGTAGCAATAGCCAACAATACATTGTATGGGTCAAAATTATCCATTTTTCTTTTATGCCAAAAATCATTAGGATATTAAGTAAAGATCATGTTCCATGAAGATATTGTGTAAATTTCCTACCGTAAATATATAAAAACTTAATTTTCGATTAGTAATATGCATTGCTAAGAACTTAATTTGGACGACTTTAAAGATGATTTTCTCAATATTTAGATTTTTTTGCACCCTCAGATTCCAGATTTTCAAATAGTTGCATCTCGGCCAAATATTGTCTCGATCCTAACAAACCATACAACATCAATGGAAAGCTTATTTATTCAGCTTTCAGACGATGCATAAATATCAATTTTGAAAAATTGACACTTAAGACTGGTTTTGTGGTTCAGGGTCACATATATAACATATTTTTAAAAATGTAATATTTTTTGGAGATTAATTTTATGGTAAAGAGCTGCATAAATAAATAAATAAAATTACAGCATTAATAAATATTGGGGGAAGTTTTTTTTTGGGTTAATTATTCCTTTAATTGCAATTTCTTTGTTAAATTTAGAGTTATGTATTATTTATGTAAATTTAATAATAATAATAATAATAATAATACTTGTTATTATTATTATTACCACTACTACTAAAATAATAAACAAAATAATAAATATTGCCAGTGTAATAATTCATTGTAAAATTGAGTATTTAATACAACACTAAATAATAATAATAATAATTAAATGTATTATTATTATTATTATTACTAAAAATGTTAAACAAAACAAGAAACACTGCTATTGTAATATTTCACCGTAAAAGTAAAAATCAAGAATTTAAGAAGCAAATATTATTACTACTAAAAATATTAAACAAAATAAGAAATATTGCTATCGTAATATTTCACAGTGAAATAAAAAATCAAGTATTTAGGAAAAAAATAATACAATTAAAATAAAAACATTGCTATTGTAATATTCTACTGTAAAATAAAAGTTGAGTGTATATTATTATTATTATTATTATTATTAAACCATCAAGCTTTTATTTTGGTGGAAAACTGCAGGGAGCCCTTAAAACTTCCCTTTTGTTAACAGCAGCCGTTTATAAGCGCTTCTCATTACATGTGGAGGAAGATGGTCAGCACGTCTAGCGTTCCCAAATTCACATTTGAATTCTCAACTCATAGAACATGCAGAATGGAGTTCAGTGAGCAGTATTTAAAGCGAACCGAGACACTGAGAACACAGATAATGAGCTGCTCGCGTGTAAATCAACACAGTGCTGCGATTCACAATACAACACACAGTGCGTATATTTATTTAATTCAACCGCAGCCTTTGCAATTTGACAATCGCACCAAGCCATATTGTGATTTTGGTTTTGTGTCCATGGAGAGATAATACATGAAAGATTATGTTCAAGGAAAACTTCTGTGGGTAAGACAGACATACGCAGTTTCCCTTTCACAGCTTATCCGTTGATTTATATCCACAATAAGAGTCAAATCAGACACAGATGATCTCCTGATAAACAGCACCGTTAATGATCTGCTGAAGTGCAATAATGGAAGAGAGCAATATCTGGCGAGAGACAGGGGAGCGTGTTTGTGAATGTAGCCGTGATTCATACAGCTGTAATTGAGTTCGCTTGCGCAGAATGATTCAAGAGGGAACGAATCACTCGCCTATGAATCTGAGCAGAGACCTCCCAAAGCAGAAGCCATAAAAACACAAATAAACACTCAACTGATGGGACTCCACACAATATAGTCACAAAATACAGCACGCTGGCTGTTCAAATCACATGCATCAGGTGTTTATTTAGGAAATAAACTGGTGAGATTTTTCTAGGATCAGTTTTTTCCCTCCATTATTACTTCCACTGTTCTCCCTCACAGTTATGCCTTATTACTTGAATGGCTTTTTTATGTCAAAAAACATTCTTCTAAAACTGTTACATCGGTGGAAAAGAAATGCATTAAATGCATTTACAAAATCTGTACTTACAGCTAATACAATATTAATGAAATAAAAGCCCACTTAAGTGACTTAAAAAGAGACACTCTCATGACTGTTTCTTAACACACTTAAGTACACTTTTAAAAAGTGACCTTTGTATTAATGTCAAATTAAAAGTTTTAATTTAAAGTACATTAAAATGCACATCATGTTTTAATAATCTTTCATGGTGTTTTAAAGAAGTACACTTATTTTAATGTGTAGGCTAACATACTAAAGCACATGGAAAGTACTTGATTATCATTTTAGCTTTTAGTGTTGTTCGATATTACATTTAAATTGTTTAATGTACAGTATTTTAAATGTACTTAATTGCAACTTCATCATTATAAATTTAAATACATGACACACAAGTTTCAATAGAAATTATATTAAAGTATATTTTAGTTGATCATAAATGCTTGTCAGTACATTCAGCAGTACTTTAACCATATTTCAAAGACAATAGAAGTAGTTATGAGTATAAAGTATATTTTCTGTAATAAGTACTGTTATTAAAAATATGCTTACTTTTCACAAGGGCAGTGAAAGATAAAACAGAGTTGACTAAATCTGTGTAGGTTTACTAAATAATTTAAGACTGTATTTGATTGGTCAGTGTAAGCCAAGTGTAAGATGTCATTTGATTGGGCATGAAATGTGTATGTTTGAATCTGATTGGTTGCTGACTCTGTTCACCTTCGGTGAGGAGGCGGGTCTGTTCTTCTGATAGGTCAGATCAGAGCTGCAGATACTGCCGTGTTCAGCGATCATCGACTGCAGCATCTCTTCCTCCTCCTCCAGAAAATGACGCTCAAATGCCTTTTCATCAGACAGGTCCAAATCACTGGAGTCGATCTGGACATAACATCAGAGAAATGATAGTTTTCTAAAGGCTACAAAAAAATTGCTACATTTCACATAGTTTGATAGGATAACCCCCCAACAATCATCATGGACTTCAATTTTATTACATTTTCAATTATGCCACATGTGTATCTTGCTTATCTTGGACTAAAATGTTAATTTATTCATACCAAAAATGGTGCTTATATATGCAGACATATAGCTGTTAAGACAAAAAAAACTGCAATATTTTTTGGAATAGAATTTTATAGTAAAGGGATGTGTAATTATTCTTCAATATGTGTCTTTTTGAGTTCCACAAAAAAATAAATAAATACAAAAATAAAAAATAAATAAATATTGTGGGAAGTTCTCATTTCATTCCACGTGCATCACATGCTAAGCTTGGACTAAAATTTCTGGTAACACTTTCTATGAAGCCCATATTTGGAATACATTATAAGGGTAATGTACTGAAAAATTGCATTGCATTGCAAAAATTTTAATCCAATCTTATCAAGAGACACATGGCATCATTGAAAATGAACTGAAATTGAAGTTCAGAAAGAATATTACAAAGTCATTTTTGAAGAATATTTAATTGATGCAGCTCCTTACCATAAAATAATTCTCCAAAACAATGTATATATTGTATATGTTTTGATGAAAAATAAAAATTTGGTAACACTTTCTATGAAGCCCGTATTTATAATAAATTATAAGGGTATTCTTAAGGTATTATAATGAATGCATAATGCATTATAAAAAACCTTATAATATGTTGAATCATCTCATGAATTTTCATAAGAACAATTTTAATGTATTATGATATTTACTTATTTGTGGTTATAGCTTTTAAGAGTATGATGATTTATAGAACACAAGAACATGCTGCATCCACTAAATTACAATGGATTATATTTCTCTTATTTATAATGTATTATAAGTCCCATATCTTGCCATGTTAATTATGTTACTTTACTTAAAGCAAACAAAGACCACTTATAAGTCATAATAATAATAATAATAATAATAATAATAATAATTTGTTTTTCTTCAATTCATTGCAATTTTTCATCCAAAAAAAAAAAAAAGTCTCTGCCTCTTATAATCGCTGATATATCGTTGCTCCTACAGAACGTTGCACTAATAACATGCTTTCCAGAAGAATGCTTTGGTTGTGTTTTAGGAGCACTGACCACTGCAGGCTCAGCACGGAACACAGCTTCATCCTCCTCATCCTCATCACAGCCCTCCATCAGCAGCAGAGCCGAGAAGATGAAGGAGGAAGAGCCATCCTCATCCTCAGTCTGTGAAGACAGGGGAGTATCACCTCTCTAAACATGTTCATTCTCTGATGATGAGCAGATCACACTAAGCTTGGGCGTTACGACCAGAATGAGGAACTGTTTAACATGGTAACTGTATAAATTCCATATACTTAGAAAAGCTTGAGGTCTGTAAGATTATTTTTTAAGGAAAACAATACTTTTATTGCATTAAATTGATCAAAAGTGACAGTAAAGACATTTATAATGTTAAAAAATATTTCTATTTCAAATAAATGCTGCTCTTTTGAACTTTCTATTCATCAAAGAATCCTGAAATAAATAAAAAAGATCAGTTTCCACAAAAATATTGGGCAGCACAACTGTTTTCCACATTGATAATAATCAGAAATGTTTCTTGAGCAGCAAATCAGCATATCAGAATGATTTCTACTTCTTTTTTTTTTTTTTTTTTTAAGTCTTAAAATGTTGACATCTTTTTCAGAAAATAATTTTATGGTAAAGAGCTGTGTAAATATTTTTCCACAAAAAAAATTAATAAAAAATTAATTCATTTAAAAATATATAAAATAAATAAATAAATGCCAGCATATAACTGCATTTTCTCTTTTAAATTTAAAATAATATATATGTTGATTTGAATTGGTTGAAATCACTCATTATTCAGTTTGCTGAAATGTACTGTATAAACAGTAACATAAACATCTTGAATTGTTTGAGACAAGTCTACTCTGTATTTTCACACTGTTTTTTGTTTTTATGATGCTTTATGCAATAATGTAAAGCAGTCCTGCATACTGATGCCGTGCAGATATATATTTACTGTGCTACAGCAGAATCTCATTTCATCATAACACCCAGCCCAAGATCACAATAAAAGACTGAATGTGATTTGATTTGGTTAGAAATCACTTTGCATGTTAGTAGTGCAAGGTTGGTTAGCGAGCTGAATCGTTTGTTTGTTGATTTTGGCATCATTAAAACAGATGATCACGTTGAAGATTTGATGTGCAAAGGTAAATAGGAAGAAATGCTTTCTCCGTTTTCATTCCGCTTCTTGGAAGTGAGTAATTTGAACCATATTACGAGGTGATGTTACCCTATCGCACTTGAGAGAGCAGAACAAAAGCGTCGGCATGCTCATGCAGTCTAAAGGCCTCTCGTGAGATTAAATCTTCAGACAAAAAAGGCCTATCAGATGACCTGCACTAAACTTGACAACCCACCACACACGCTCCAAACCTCAAGGCCTCGGAGGAGAAAAAGAAGGAAAGATGCCAAAATGTGCACACAGTCCAATAATAATGCAGCCGCGATAACAGCCTTGGAAAGTTGAAGAGGTTAAGATAAACTACAGCCCCTGAGAGCTCTTCACAAAGATACAGACACGCTCCTCCAAGAAGATTTCATTTCCTGAGGCCTTAAAGGACTACAGACCTGCGTCATGAAATATTCAAAGAACCTGCAAAGGAATCCCGTTACTGCAGCCACAGGTTTCAATAACACAAAATCGTACAGAGAAAAAAGCTGCTTTAGAAACTAGAGGATAGTATTTCTTACGGGCAGGGGTTTGGCCACCCCGATGCGGACGGTGCCCATGTTCACTCCCTTCAGAGCCTGCACTGCTTCCTCCAAACTGGCGCTCTCCAGGTTGATGTTGTTGACATACATGAGACGGTCTCCTGGCAACAAGCGTCCGTCTCGCTCTGCTATGCCGTCGGGAACTAACGACCTAATCACTATTACTGTCTTGAGCGGGTCCATTGGGTCCTGTACACATATGAGCACATACACACACACACACACACAAAGTGAGTATAACATTAACATTATTGGTTTTACTTAATTTCAGTAGGCCTCTTTAGACATTTTACTAGCTATAAGTAACTTTTCAACATCATGTTAACTAACTCCCATTAATTTGCAACTACATGTCAGCTAACTCCCGTTAATTTGCAACTACAAGTCAACTACATGTCAACTAACTACCATTATTTTGCAACTACATGTCAACTAATTCCTGTTGATTTGCAACTACAAGTCAACTAATTCCCGCTGATTTGCAAATACAAGTCAACTAATTCCTGTTCATTTGCAACATGTCAGCTAATTCCCATTCATTTGCAAGTATGTCAACTAACTCTCATTAATTTTCAAATGTCAGCTATCTCTCATTAATTTGCAACTACATGTTGACTAACTCGCATTCATTTGCAACTACATGTCGACTAACATTAATTTGCAACTACATGTGGACTAACTCATTCATTTGCAAATACATGTCAACTAAATCCAATTCATTTGCAACTACATGTCAACTAACTCTCTTTAATTTGCAACTACAAGTCGACTAACATTAATTTGCAACTACATATGGACTAACTCATTAATTTGCAACTACATGTGGACTAACTTATTAATTTGCAAATACATGTCAACTAAATCCCATTAATTTGCAACTACATGTCACCTAACTCTCATTAAGTTGCAACTACATGTCAACTAACTCACATTAAAGCTGCAGTCTGTAAGTTTTGTCTCTTTGTCGCCATCTCTGTTTGAAACCTGCAATTGTAGTTATTTGCAGAATTATCTTCCTTGCGTGGGTTGTGCACCAGCTTGGCTCCAGCATGCGGATAAATCTAATGTTTTGAGGAGTATGTGTGGCTGTCAGTCACCACACCAGTGTGATACCGTACTTAGGAATCACATATTCTAGCCTACGTCTAGGAATATATGACAAAAATAAGAATTTTCACCAAATATTGTCATCCGAACAGCAAGTAACAAGTCTGCCACTTTTGTTCTGACCAACTGAGGAAAAATGCAATACAATAAATCGCGCTACAATGGTGATTAAATCTAATGATCGGTTAATTAGCTCATATCACATCAAACCGCAATTTATTATTACTGTTATACTTTTTTCTCAAATTGTTCATGTTAACAACATCAGCATTGCGTGACTACGTGTATGTAGCGCTTCATGTAGATTTCAATTTCTGTACAGTATAATCTCTAATTGTCAAACCACTCGAATTTCATATAAAGAAATTATTTTAACCCAAAAAGCAAATTATTCTTTAGAACTGGTTCTCTTTAAAATAAAAAACTTGTGTAATCCCACATATCTGTAATCAGATGCACATTTAAAACTGGAGTATAATTTAATTTCAGTCACTTGTGTTTCATAAACACATAAACCTTTTTGGATTACAATACGCCATCAGAATGATACATTTAATTATTCCAGCTGCTGTACGAAAAGGCTATAAATGATCCGCCACCTGCAGCATCTTCACACGCGATAGCCTACTAGCCGGGACTCAATCTTTATGTTTACAGATGTGACGTAATGGCGCGGCAACATGCTCAAATGTCCCATGAATTCCTACCAGTACCACTCAAATTAGAAAACAGTATTATAAGCTTACCGTTGTGAGTCGGGCTAAAGTAAGGCTATAGTTTTGAACACTGGCTGGTTATGTACTTGCTCAAAAATTGATTTCGTTTAATTTTTAACCAAAAAAAGTTATGGACTGCAGCTTTAATTTGCAAATACATGTCAACTAACTCTCATTCATTTGCAACTACATGTCAACTAACTCACATTAATTTGCAACTACATGTCGACTAACATTAATTTTGCAACTACATGTCAACTAACTCAAATTAATTTTCAACTACATGTCAACTAACGTCTTGGTTACGTATGTGACCATCATTCCCTGAAGGAGGGAATGGAGACATTACGTCAGTGACTGACGAATCGGGGATCTCGCCAGAGAGCCCAATTAACTTCGAGTGTTAACAAAACAAGCCAATAAGTGTTGGAGTGCGAGCTTTGCGTCGCTCACCCCGCCACGCAGCGCGGATATACAAGGAGAGCGCGTGCAGTCTCACATTCAGTTTTTCGCTGTGTGGTGGTCTAAATTTAGAAAGACCTCCCACCTGATAATCCAGAATGCTGAAGCCCAGTCCGCTCTCTCCTTTCTCTAGTTCAATGTCCTGTATCTCTGTTTCCCACATCGCTAATGGCGTTCCGGTGGGCTCTTTAGTCACATGATCATTCAGGCTGTCCTCTAATTCACCAGAGACCAGGAAATCCTCAAACTCACCCGGCACCTACACAAGCGAGATGAACAAAACTTTTCATTCTAATAAAATCCCTAATAATTGTTCAGAAGCATAAAACATCACCTTACTTTAGCATATGTAACAGGGTGGATGCAAATTGTACAGCTTTTATTGATAGCTAACCCATGGAATGCATTTGAGCATGACGGTCTGTCCTCTCAGAGTGACTCGAGATGTTCAGAGATTATAATGGTGCACTGTAATCTGATATAATCCCAACAAAGGAAAGTCTGACTGAACCACTCAGGCTCGTTTAACATGCTCATGGAAAACAAGAAATGTATCACTGCAAAAGAATGATTATAAAACAGATTTAGGTTGACAGCGGGCCAATTTGGTTCACTACTAAGTGAGTTTTGATTCAATAAATTACATCTGATTTGATTAACAACAATTCGAATACTCAGTGCTTTTATAATATTTACAGGAAAAACTACTTGTTAAGTCTGTAAAGACATTACTTAGATAAAGAATATGGGCTAAATTTTATAAGTACTTGTATTAAAGAACCTACACTTAGAGCAATTATACAAAATTCTTTACATTTTATTCTACTTTAATTTTATTGGTATGGATAAATTCAGATTAATAAAAGACTAAATGTACATTAATCTTTACATATTTAATCGCACATATTAAATCTAAACAGGAGTTGATATTTAGTGAACAATTTAATGTACCTGAACTATGGAATCAATGGCCACATCCTCTGGCTGTGATTGGTCAGTTTGGCTGTCAGTCATTAGAGGGGCAGGTCTACAGCAAACCATGGTCACAGAAACAGGAAGTTCTTTCAGAATGTCAACAACCTCTTTATGAGTCTCTCCTCTGAGGGGAATGCCGTTCACCTGAACAAACACACACACACACTTATAAATATATGAAACTGTTTTCATCATTGATAATAATCAGAAATGTTTCTTGAGCAGCAAATCAGCATATTAGAATGATTTCTGAAGATCATGTGACACTGAAGACTGGAGTAATCATGCTGAAAATTCAGCTTTGATCACAGAAATCAATTACATTTTACAATATATTCACATAGAAAACAGCTATTTTAAATGTATAATAATATTTCATGATAATACTGTTTCTATTGTATTTTTGATCAAATAAATGCAGCCTTGGTGAGCAGAAGAGAATTCTTATTGGATCAAATTCCAGTATTAATTAGATTTTTTGATGCATATTGGTGGTGGGTTGTTTGCGATGGATGTGTTTTACCTCTAACAGTTCGTCTCCACTACAGATTTTTCCCGATCGCCCGACGGGTCCCTCAGGAAGCACTGAGCGGAGGATGTGACGACCGGCACACATGTCCAGACTGATCCCTAAACCGCTGTTCTCACTGAACTTCTCCACTTGAGCCACCTGAATACACATTAACACAGAATCACAACATCACAAACTTTAAAAATCCCTCATTCAGTAGCATTATTCAATAGTACAATTAAAGTTGTAGGGTATCAGAGTGAATCAGACAATTTAAGATTTGATCAGATTGGTGTTGAACAACCCAAAGAGCCAAATTCCACAAAGAGGCCCAGGATAACAAGACAACGTCATAAATCTGTCCAGATCCCAGCGCCAGCCAGTCTGAAGCAAGCCTAACCAACCAACTCCACAGTTTGAACAGCTTGCAACATTAACACAAAAGAACACCTATTGATAATCTCGACTCAGGAAGGAGATTGTCAAGTTTGCTGCAAGTAATCAAGATTGATGGTCAAAGAGATGCACAGCATGACCATCACATGTAAATCCATGATAGTAATCATGAGCTAAAGACTTTCTTCGGATTGACTTATGAGACAACCTATGAGACAAGAACCAGACTAAGATTCCCTCTAGTAACCACATAAACACATTTCATTACACCAAATACACAAAATAATGTTCTTTTTAGCAACATCATATGACCCCTTTAATGAAAACTGGGATATTTTTGTTATAAACAGTAAGTAGAGTATCAGAGTGAATCAGACCATTTAAGATTTGATCAGATTGGTGTTGAACAACCCAAAGAGCCAAATTCCACAAAGAGGTCCAGGATAACAAGACAACGTCATAAATCTGTCCAGATCCTAGCGCCAGCCAGTCTGAAGCAAGCCTAACCAACCAACTCCACAGTTTGAACAGCTTGCAACATTAACACAAAAGAACACCTATTGATAATCTCGACTCAGGAAGGAGATTGTCAAGTTTGCTGCAAGTTGATCAAATAAATGCAGCCTTGGTGAGCAGAAGAGAATTCTTATTGGATCAAATTCCAGTATTAATTAGATTTTTTGATGCATATTGGTGGTGGGTTGTTTGCGATGGATGTGTTTTACCTCTAACAGTTCGTCTCCACTACAGATTTTTCCCGATCGCCCGACGGGTCCCTCAGGAAGCACTGAGCGGAGGATGTGACGACCGGCACACATGTCCAGACTGATCCCTAAACCGCTGTTCTCACTGAACTTCTCCACTTGAGCCACCTGAATACACATTAACACAGAATCACAACATCACAAACTTTAAAAATCCCTCATTCAGTAGCATTATTCAATAGTACAATTAAAGTTGTAGGGTATCAGAGTGAATCAGACAATTTAAGATTCGATCAGATTGGTGTTGAACAACCCAAAGAGCCAAATTCCACAAAGAGGCCCAGGATGACGTTAGACCACGTCATAAATCTGTCCATGATACCCTGGCACCACAAGTCTGAAGCAAATCTAACTAACCAGCTCTTTCACAGAACAGCTTTCAACATTAACACAAAAGAACACATTGATCATTTCAACTCAGGAAGGAGATTGTCAATTTTGGGGCAAGTAATCAAGATTGATGGTCAAAGAGATGCACAGCATGACCATCACATGTAAATCCATGATAGTAATCATGAGCTAAAGACTTTCTTCGGATTGACTTATGAGACAACCTATGAGACAAGAACCAGACTAAGATTCCCTCTAGTCCCCTTTTGACCTCTGCTTCGTTCACAGAATGGCAGAGAGACTGCCTTTACATGTATATACATGCACCAAAATGATGCTAAAAGGACTTACGAGCAACTTTCACTTCTATGCATAACTCTATATCATGTATGAGAGGAGTGAGCGCGTGCGCATGGTTGCCAGATTACTTAAATTAAGCAAAACACCGGGCAGAAAATGTATCCTTGTAACAGCGAAGCTCTGATTCGGGGATTTTAACTCTTGATATCTGGCAACCGCACTCATGAAAGCTCGCCTAGCAGAGGCGTGTAGAGCTGTGCGCAATAACATTTTGTCTCCTTTTTTTGACGAAAATAAAAAGAGGTTTTTGGTAGAGTTTTTATCTTTTTGAATACATTTTAGTCAGGTCTTATTTCATCAATGAAATTGCATGTTGGTATAGTCTTAGTTATCGTTTATTGACCTTATTATCGTCTCGTCTTCGTCTCATCTTAGTCATGGGAAAAAAAAATTTGTTTTCATGATGAACATTTTTCGTCATAGTCTTTGTTAACGAAATTAACACTAGTGAGAGAACATCTGTAACTTTGTCCAAATTGGGGGAATTGTAATGTTTGTAGGGTATCAGAGATAAGACTTGATCAGATTGGTGTTGAACAACCCAAAGAGCTAAATTCTACAAAGAGGCTCAGGATAACAACACAACATCATAAATCTGTCCAGATCCTAGCGCCAGCCAGTCTGAAGCAAGCCTAACCAACCAACTCCACAGTTTGAACAGCTTGCAACATTAACACAAAAGAACACCTATTGATAATCTCGACTCAGGAAGGAGATTGTCAAGTTTGCTGCAAGTAATCAAGATTGATGGTCAAAGAGATGCACAGCATGACCATCACATGTAAATCCATGATAGTAATCATGAGCTAAAGACTTTCTTCGGATTGACTTATGAGACAACCTATGAGACAAGAACCAGACTAAGATTCCCTCTAGTCCCCTTTTGACCTCTGCTTCGTTCACAGAATGGCAGAGAGACTGCCTTTACATGTATATACATGCACCAAAATGATGCTAAAAGGACTTACGAGCAACTTTCACTTCTATGCATAACTCTATATCATGTATGTAACCCACACATTTGACTACCATGTCCTAATCACTTATTGTGTATGTATTTTGAATAACTATTGAATAGTTTATAGGATTATATTCATGTTGGGTATGTATGAGTTTAAAAATACATGCTTTAAACGTTTCTATCAATCAATACTTTGTAAAATATATTATATTCTGGTTATAGAAATCATGTCCAAGTTATACTCTGCAAGAGCGGGAAAATTCAGACCATGTGACTCATAAAATAACATGTTGATTTATGTATTGGGAGGAGAAACATACAACCCCCCGAGCTAAGACAGTGTCTAATTGGTCAAGACACCATTTGGGATGTGTCCAACAGCCTGGTTTAAATACTCAGGACACCATCAAATTATGCAGTTTGCCTTGTCTGCTTTTAGTCATTGCTTTTTGCTTTATGCTTTTTGCTGTTTTTTAGCGCTCTTTGAGCGTGCTCTGGCTTACATGCCAGCAGCTCCTCTAAAACCATGAGGAGAAATGCCATCTAGTCTTATCACTCTCTTATTCTCTTTCTTTTTCTCAGTTTATTTACTTTTCCGTTGAGAGTTTCGTGTTCGGAGTTAAGTTTTGCTGCAACGCCGTGTCTCCGAGTTCACCTCGAGTCTGTGACCGCCTCAAAACTTCAACCAGCCCACAACTCTGCATCTTCAGCCAACGCCCAACCACTGGCTTCCCAAAACTTCACTTCAATGACTACTGAACTTCCAGCCAATCAACAAACTTGGGAAACCCCTTTCTGCAACGAGGACAACAAGGGAACCCCCTAAACAAGCAACGCAAGTACCTCCAGATTCTAGCTGAACTGGTGCATTTAATATAAATTTGAACTTCATTGAGGAACTCAATGCGAGGGTTAATTAAGAGATTGATGGTTGTTGAGGTCTATGCAATTGCACATAGTGCTGTAAACCTGGGATTTCACATTTTCATTCTCTTAAACTCATTCTTTCCTCACTTTCTCTCTTCTTGCAACTTGTGTGAATGCATGTGTTCATGTGTTAGATTAGTTTATATGTCTTAGATTTATCCAATAAAGCCTTATTCATATTGAAAAGAGAAGTATCTTGTGTTTTGTGCTCACAAGTTAATGTCTTAAACTGCCGATCTTGTTACTGTGCTAATTAATAGTGTTTCCACTATATTTTGGATTGTAATGTCCATTGCAGAATTGATGTTATACGGCTCGTTCAATGAATCGCTGGCCGACTCCATGATCAGCCGTAAAACAGTGATTCTGTCCAAATTCAATGTCCAAAAATAGTTCCCTTTTGCACTAAATTGACCTGTTTCCCTTACAAAGTTAAGATATTTTAAACTTACTAAATTGTAAATTCATCATTACATATGTGTAAATACAAATATATTTAAGTACATGACATACAAGTTTCAATAGAAATGACATTAAAGCATATTTTAGTTTACCATAAATGCTTGTCAGTACATTCAGCAGTACTTTAACCATATTTCAAAGACAATAGAAGTAATTATATATAAAGATATACTCAAGTCATACTTAAGTTCAACCTTATTTTTAACTAACTGTATTTAATATAGATTTAAATTACGATATATTATCATTTATTTGCTGTTAAAATGCAGTTAAGTATCCGAAAACATTACATTCGGTTTGCACTTAAGTATATTCTTTTGAAGTATATTGTAATAAGTACTCTTTTTCAAAGTTCGCTAATGTTGGATTGGTTTTGTTTCAGTGTGTGATTGCGTGGATTTTGGATAAGCCTTAGTCTTGCTAACAAAACAAGCCAGCTGGCAGAGATTTAACTCTGAATCTACAAAGAGAGAAATAAATGAACTGCTTCTGAATTAAATTTCACAAGGGCTGGCTGGTTAAGCACACATAATAAAAATCTACATATAATAATCAGTCACATTTTTGATCTTTGAACTGCCATGGCAGAAATTTGACCCTGGCACTTCTCATTTACATAATAACAAAAAAATACATATTTTTCGGAAAACTCAGTTTTTCTCTAAAGTGTTCGGTTTGACAGCAATATTGGGGACAGCAAACGAATGACTAATTATACACATAATTACCAAATTAATTAAAAATAGTGAAATCTGTGTAGTGGACAAACCCAACAACATTATTTATGAAAAGGTGATTACAGAGATGCAATTAGAAAGTATGAAGTCATTGTTTTTCTTTCTTTCAAATCATTAAAAAACCGAACACTAAAAATTATTGTACATGACATTTTTAAGTAGAAAGACTGAAAATAATTTTCTTGTAAAATGTATGCAAATATTCTGTTTTTCTTACAATTTGGAAAAATCATTTGAAAACAAAGATTATTATTTCAGTAATTCTACAAAAAAATAAATAAATCATGTTTAATTAAATGTGTTACAGGCAAGCAATTTCAGTTAAAACTGATCCTAAGTAAATTTTTATTTATTAATTTGTTTAGGATTTACTGGGATTTAGTGGAAATAATTTTCACTCAAACTGCTAGCAAATTTCACAAATAATTACAAAGAAATGCTACATTGAATCAAAAAAAATGATGTTTTAAAGTTAAAAAAATAGTTTGAAGTAGTTTTAAAGGAATTTTAAGTATTTTTTATTTTTTTTTATATTTAACATTTTTTTACAGAGTACTTGGTGACTAAAAGTTCTTTTAATTAAAAGATGAAGCGTAAAGCAGTTACTCACAATGACTTCGCTGCAGACGCCGAGTTCATTCTGCCACTTCTGCATTAGCTGGTGCTCCTCCTCAGAGCTCAGCTTCACAGGACCTGAGAGAGACATGACAGCGTTACCCGCCGGTCTCTGCGAGTCGATTCGCTGATATCAGCGGTGAAATGACAAACATCTCTCACCGTGGCGTCTGTCTGGAGCTCTGACGGGCGAAGCGCTGAAAGACTGCGGTGTGGCGTTTTCCTCTGGAGTGAGAAACACAGGAAAACACAGGGGCATCAGTGATGTGCAAGTCGCTCTTCATATAATAACAGGCTTCATGGGACTGTGATGAAAGGATGAGTGAGGATTTTGACTCTAAATATGGTGTGGCGGCTGACACATACACACAAAGGATCTACCAAACTAAAGTTAGATCTCAGCTCTGGCTTAACGTTTCTGTTGTAATATCTTCAAGTATTCTCTCTGTCTTCAGGTATTTATCAGGATAAGATTTTAAAAAGACCCTTGGATTTTCTCAAACATGCAGAACACAAGACGGTAAGGAATATTTAAGATTTTTCAGATCTGTCTGTGTGAACAGATTGCCAAAGTTGTTATTGCACATAATCACACAAAAAAAATAACTGTTTTAACTAGTTCCAGGTTGATAACTGAACACCACTCATATGTGGAGAAATGTGATGAGGTCATGTAGAAAACGGTTCGAAACTTTTATTGTGGAAGGATGCCTAATGTTTCCCGCAGTGTTATTATTGTTAACCAAAACTAAACATATCAAAAAACATTTTTGTTCATTAAAATAAAACTAAAATACAATTAAATAAAATGTAAATATTAAATGAAAAATAAATGTTGCCTTTGCAACTAATTGAAATAAATTCAATTCACTTTAAGCATTAAAAATACTAAAAAATAAAATAAAATAAAGCTAAATAGAAATCTAAAAAAACTAATAAAAATTAGTCAGACTGAGATTAAATTACAAATGAAAAGTGAATATTTTTTATTTATATATGTTAGGATCTTAAGCAGTCTTTTTATTTTACTTATAAAAGTTATTAATTATAAACATCAATATGGAGAGCAGCGTATGAGTTTTAGTTCTGAGAACAAACACATTTTTTAATAAATATGTACAAAATATTAAGTCAATATAGTGTGGGTTAGGTTTTCACATCACTTTATTTGCATTGAGCTCAGCGGTCTCAGTTTCTTTACTTTCACATGAAATATCTCTGAGCTTTTGCTTCGGTGGAAAACTGAAGGAAGACTTTTAAGTTTCTGTGTGTAGTTGGCAACAATTTTCAACACACGTCTCACTTTAAAACTGCTGTAAACCTCACAAAAATTCATGAAATAGGTTCACAGGTTCAAGGCCGCTCTGATTCACACTGAAGCACACGGCTCATGCAGATTATACAGTCGTTTCATTAAACTGCAGTCTTTTGCAGTTCAATAATCACACTAGGCCACATTGCGGTGTACATTTGATTGTACAACCTTACTATTAGCTACTCGGACAAGCCAATGTCTTTCTGCATTCATGGAGTGTATAAACAGACGTGAGCGACTGATGTAGGCAGCTTCATTTGTTACCGTGCTTGGTGTTTGTTCGCTCCATCGTTGAGTTTCGTGATGCGCTGAGGGTGGCTGTGGTCTCCATGGTGACAGGTATGATTGACGGACATGCATCCTCTAATTTAAAGCCGCGTCGGACGAGCTTCAGGTTTACGGTCTGACCCGTGTGTCTCAGGACCTCCACACACACACACACACACGCACACGCACACACACACACACACACACACACACACACACACACACACACACAGTTTAGCCTTCAATACACACTTCATTCACATGCTGAGATCATATGTGACCCTGGACCACAAAACCAGTCATAAGGGTCAATTTTTCGAAATTGAGATTTATACATCATCTGAAAGCTGAATAAATAAGCTTTCCATAGGATGTTAGGATAGGACAATATTTGGCCGATATACAACTATTTGAAAATCTGGAATCTGAGGGTGTAAAAAAATCAAAATATTGAGAAAATCACCTTTAAAGTTGTCCAAATGAAGTTCTTAGCAATGCATATTACTAATCAAAAATTAAGTTTTGATATATTTAAAGTAGGAAAATTCCAAAATATCTTCATGGAACATGATCTTTACTTAATATCCTAATGATTTTTGGCATAAAAGAAAAATCTATAATTTTGACTCATACAATGTATTTTTGGCCCCAGCGACTTCAGACTGCTTTTGTGCTGCAGGGTCATATATACGACCCTTGACCATCCAAGTCTCACAGATGAATATATATACTGTATATATATGGGGGGATTTTCAGGAACAAAGTGATGGGATGCCATTCATTTTGATGACTAGGAATTATTATTATTATTATTTTTTTTGTTATATCACGTTTTTAATATGGATTTTAATTGCCAGGAAAATATAGGCAAAAATATACAGTATTGTTGTACATTTCAGAATATGTTATTAAAGAACAACAACCAAAATATAAAGTGCACATATTGTAATAAAAAAAAAATACTATATAATATTTGGGCAGTTACATACATTTGAAAAACTTTACAGTTTCTATGTTTTTATGCGTTTCCAGTTCTGTGTTCTCATGTTTGAAAGGATTTTAGAGTGCATTGTGAGATGAGAAATTATAGAAATTATAACTTTTTTTCTTCAGAAAAATGTGGGGGAAAATGGGAAAAAAATGTCATAAGATTCTAAATTTTGAGTTTTTTGTTTTAATTTTTTTTTTATCACGTCCATTGTAAAATCAATCCAAAATTAAATAGAAAAAGGGCAATAAAAAAATTAATGTTCAATATCGTCAATTGATATGTTGCAAAAATGACTGAGAAAAGTTTAACTTTATGTAAATGAGTAGCGAGTTGATGGGAAACATCAACGATCACAGTATCTGTCTTCTTTTGTTGAAATTCAGATAAAAAATAACCACTTTGTGATATAACTTTACCAATATATTTAATTTCTTAAATTTCTCTTCTCTTACTGTTATTTTGCAGAACCCATAACATATACTACACATGCACAATAACAATAACAGAAACACTTTCACCTGTCAGCATAGACACCTTTTGATTTTGATAAGCACTGCAACACAAAACATGCATAAACAAGATTTTCATCTGACACGTTCTTTGTGAAATAACTCACAGATATGATCTGATCTCCAACATGAATTCGGCCGTCTTGCTCCACCGCGCTGTCCCTCGAAATGCTCTTCACAAATATCCCAGAGGGCTCTGCAGTAGGAAATTACAGTCAGCAAAGTTTAAACGCTGCCTAAAATAAGGCACTCTAGAATGAGAATACACTTTCATATGGAATCTGCCCACAGTGAGAAAGAGAAACAGTAAACAACAAGCTTCAGGGACAGAAACATTATTTATGTTATATATTATTTATATTAAACATGTTAGAAATGTACTAAATCATGCTAAAACATTATGGCAATGTGTAAAATCATGTTAAAACATGCTAAAAATGTGTTAAAACACACTAATTATGTTCATGCTAACAACATGCTAATCATGTGAGAAACAAATGCTAAACATGCTAACATAATGGTAGCAACATGCTAATCATGCTAAAAACATGCAAATCATGTTAGAAACATGTTAGCAACATGCTAACATTATGCTAAAATGCTAATCATGCTATCAGCAAACTAGCAACATGTTAGAAGCATGTTAATCATGTTAACAACATGCTAATCCTGTTAGAGACATGATAGTAACATGTTAACATCAAGGTTACAACATGCTAATGTTATAAACATACTAGCAACCTTCTAGCAATATGGTAATCATGTTAGAAAACATGCTAATATTATGCTAAAAATGTTAATCATGCTAATCATGCTAACAACATGTTAGAAACATGTTAATCATGTTAGCAATGCTAATCATGTTAGAAACATCACCAACATGCTAATCATGCTTACAACATGCTGGCAACATGATAATCATGCTAACAACATGCTAATAATGCTAACAATGTGCTAGCAACAAGCTAATAATGCTAAAATATGTTAGCTAGCTATCTACCTATCTATCTATTTAAACGTTCAAACTTTAAAACTGTTTCAAACTTCAAGCTTTTACAACTATTTCAAACTTTCTAGCTAGGCTTTCTCAAGCAAACTAATTGTGTCTTGATGATTTTTTATCTAGTTTAAAGTATTATCTCCGTAATAAGTACTCTTTATCACTATACACTAAAATGAAGCAAACTTTATTTATACAACACACCTTTGTGACTACAGATTTTGCGTCACATCGATATGCAGCAAATCATAAAACTACATGAATATTCAACAAGCCGCATCTGAGGTATCATTCATGTCCAGCACAAATATTAAATGCTGAAGTTTAAGACTTAGGATTGGGCATACTTATAGTGATGCCTGCCTTCAGAAACGGCATTAATAAAACTATCTACCGTATTGACCCAAATATAAGACGATGTTTTTTTCTTGGAAATACATCTGAAAAAACGCGGTCGTCTTATATTCAGGCTCTAGATTTTGACATGTCAATAATACACCCACAACAATAGGTGGCGCCAAATACGCATACAACGAGTGTGCCATGAAATACGTAATGTAATGCGTGTTGTAAAGATCGCGAGTAAAAATAAAAGAAAAAGAAAACCTTACAGCTGCATGAGTCGTGACTGTCACGTTAGCCTGATGGGACCAAACTCCCTTTGTGATTTTAAAACGTAAGACAGTACCCAGATTTGAAGACTACAGTAAGATTTAACTTCTACTGTTAATAAGATTTTGGTGGGCTACTATTAGATGGATAGCCTAAATGTGCTAATTCAGATGGGCTACCTGTTTTTTTTTAAGTACATCTGGAAAAAGGGGGGTCGTCTTATAATCAGGGTCGTCTTATATTCGGGCCAATACGGTAATAACCATTTGTCTGTTCAGTTTGCACATCAGTTCTGTTTATTAATATAATTTACTGTCTGATATACAGCTCACCTGATGTTTTGTCCCCCACATACCCCGCGATGGTGATGCCTAAACCCTGAGCGTTCTTCGTCAAGCTCACATCGAAAGCGCCCTGTTCCTCTTCCTCAAAACCCTGACAGCAGACACAAACACAGATTATTACACAATAACAAGAACATTAACATTAGCATCTTTTTAAATATGGTTTGAAACAAGCTAATACCGCAAAACGTAATTCATCATATCAATTGCTAATTCTCAAGCGCTGTTGTTTTCCTACCAAAAACCGTCTCTTCCTGCAGGATGATGTCGTTAAAGATCAGCAGCCAGTTGCAACAAACTCATTAGGGTAAGAAAACATTCCCTTGTAATTATTATTACTAGCTTAATGGGTTTGTTGCACTGGCCTCAGGCTTTCGTTAGTTACAGAGAAAAGATTAACAGAATGAACAGTGATATTGAGGACTTAATGCAATGATTAGTAATTAAAACAATATTCTCAAGAAAACATTTAATGTTATTAGAGAAAGGCAATATTAAGAAACACCTGCAATATTTCCTAATAAATTACCAGTTTTCATTTTAGAATTGGTGCATAGGAAGACATGGCAAAAATTGCAACATCCATTCAAACCAAAGTAGATAAATGAATGGAAATTCACTCTTATATTCAATTAATTTTGCTACTCTGATAAAAAAAGAAATTAATATGATATCCATATTGATACAACAGTTCTTTCTGGTCCTCAAATCTGATTGGCTGATAAGAGTGTGATATTCAAGTGATATCGTAACTCCAACCATTTCACTGCTTGTATCACTCCGCTTGCCGTATTTCTCATAGCGAGTGTCATGGCGGACGCCCAAATCCACTGTAATTTTAAAAATAATACTGTTTTTGTCTCACGGAATGTAGTTTTAAGAGTTTTTAGGTGAGAATGTAGTTGTTTAGACTTAAAATATGTGGTCTGTTAATAAAGATAACATCTATTTGAAAATTTGCTTCGACGTTGTCAGAGATGTGAGCTCCAGGACGTCAGCGGCCATTCTGCGCTCATGAACCCGCGGAGAGAGCGCCTCACCTCGGCCAGATCTTCTGGAATTTACCGCTGGCTCTGATGTCTCTAGAGTGCTTAAACATGAGATATAACTTGTTTTGGGTAAATCTAATGGGCAGTCTTTGGGGCAGTCGTGGCCTAATGGATAGAGATTCGGACTTATAACCCGAAAGACGTGTGTTCGAGTCTCAGGTCCGGCAGGAATTGTAGGAGGGGGGAGTGAATAACAAGTGCTCTCTCCACCTTCAATACCACGACTGAGGTGAGACCCTTGAGCAAGGCACCAAACCGCCAACTGCTCCCCGGGTGCCACTGCTCCGTGTGTGTGTGTGTGTGTTCACTACTGTGTGTGTGCACTTGGATGGCTTAAATGCAGAGCACAAATTCTGAGTATGGGACGCCACACGTCACTTCACTTTCATTAATCTATTATTTGTTCCAGAGCACATTTGCTATTGGCTGAGGGCAAAATCTCATCACATAATATTTGATGTAACTTCAATGCTGTAGCCTATATCAGAGCGCTGCCTTTGTACTTTTGACTGAATTGCCTAGGAACTTTTATGATGGCTGTTATTGTTGTTTATTAAATATTATTATTCAATAAATAATATTTTATACAAATAATAGTAGTATTTAGTATTGGGAAACAGTGTGTGTGTTCGTGATGGTGATTTTAGTTACATTGTTCCGCCGTTAGATGGCGACAAGAGAATCCATGGCAGAAGGAAGTAGTTCTGCACAAAAGTGGGCTTTTAAAGACACTTCATTGTTGTTTCTTATGTATTTACACACTCGTGCCATCGAGCTGTTGTCTAAACGCAATATCATACTCGTAGCCGTGAGATATGGCTGTATATCGGCACACTGTGATTACCTATGGTGCCGATATACAGCATATCTCATGTCTACGAGTGCGATATTGCTCATATATATGTGCCCCTGGACCACAAAACCAGTCATAAGGGTAAATTTTTTGAAATTTCATCTGAAAGCTGAATAAGTAAGCTTTCCATTGATGCATGGTTTATTTGGATAGGACAATATTTGGCTGAGATACAACTATTTGAAAATCTGGAATCTGAGGGTGCAAAAAAATTTTAATATTGAGAAAATCACCTTTAAAGTTGTCCAAATGAAGTCCTCAGCAATGCATATTACAAATCAAAAATGAAGTTTTGATATATTTACGGTAGGAAATTTACAAAATATCTTCATGGAACTTGATCTTTACTTAATATCTTAATGATTTTTGGCATAAAAGAAAAATAGATAATTTTGACCCATACAATGTATTGTTGGCTATTGCTACAAATATACCCGTGCTACTTATTACTGGCTTTGTGGTCCAGGGTAACATCTAGAGAGAGAGAGAGACAGTAAATACTTCGTAGCTTTGGAATTGACTACCACTTTTGTTACATGAATAGTTCACTCAAAATGAAATTTGCTGAAAATGCTGTAAAAGTGGTCTGGTCTAAATCAGGAGAGAACTCTGCACAGGTCAAGCACCGTTTACAAGCCAAAACAGTCCAAAACAGCTCTAAACAAATATGTGTGCGGATTTTGATGTGAGAGACAACAGGAGATGGACTTTTTCACTGGAGAAAGCGTTATTATGGATAATGGACTCACATTTTAGCTTTTTCATATTTAAGTTAAAAACGTCTTAAGGATGGATTCGTTTCTTACAAACACGCAGCTTTTGTCTTCTCAAGATGTTAATTGATGGACGGGAGTGGAATGGATTGCTTGTGGATTATTGTGATGTTTTTATCAGCTGTTTGGACTCTCATTCTGACGGCACCCATTCACTGCAGATGATCCCCTGCTGAGCAAGTGATGCAATGCTACATTTCTCCAAATCTGATGAAGAAACAAACTCATCTACATCTTGGATGACCTGAGGGTGTGTACATTTTCAGCACATTTTCATTTTTGGGTGAACTGTTCGTTTAAGACAGCATGGTTATCAGTCAATGCAGTCAATCTCAAAAGAGCAAAATACAGTATGTAGTATACAGCAATGTTGGCACATGTGCAGCTGAACCTGTTGCTCAGTGACGGTCGGCAGGGCGACAGCAGCGAGCGTAGCATCATCCACCATCCCGCGGCTGATGAGGAGTCGGACTCTGTTTCCACATTGTTTCAAAACTTGAGCAACCTGCTCACTGCTCAGACCAAATAGGTCCGTATCACCGATCCGCAGGACGTGATCCCCACTTCGCAAGCGACCGTCCTAGAACCAGTGAGAGATACGGTGAACTTCTGTATTTTTCATAAACAGATTTTATGACATTCTTCAATGTTTTATTCCTGGGTTGAATTCACTGGACCCCTCACAGGGTTATTAGACAATCATTGTTGACTTCAGTTTTGTTTTTTTAGGACTGTCAAGTGATTATTTTTTTAAATTCTAATTAATTAGATGCTTTGCAGATTAACTACACTAATTAATCACAAATTAAATGCACATCAATTTTGACTGAGAAATTACCCCACAAAAGATCATTTGAAGTCATTATTGTGTTAAATGAGAAAAGCATTGAATAGACATTACAAAAAGTAGCTTTAGAAAGAAACATTTTGATTCAGCATTGCATAAATAATGATAGCAATTGGGTATTGTTTTGTTAATTGAATATTGAAATATGAAATGAATAAAAAAAAAGGAAATGATACTCTAAATATGAAACAAAAACCGCCAGTCTTAATGAGTGAGTGAGTCATTCAACCAATTCATTCAAATTGGTGATTCATTCAGAAACTAGTCTTTATGAACGAGTCACTGAATCATTCGCTCACTCTGTTTAAAAAATGTGGATTCATTCAGTAACAAAACAGTGCTGTGTTTTGCTCAGAGATGCAAAACAATTCTGGTGCTGGCTTTGTTTGGAGCAATTTTCTTTGGCGAAATTGAGCAAAAAATATAAATATATACAGTATATATATAAACAAACAAACAATATTGACAATATTGTATCTAAAACGTAACACAATACTAACTTCTTGTTTATTGAACCATTCCATAAATTCAATATAACATTTGCAATTGTGCAGATATTCAGGAAAAACAGCACTCTTGCTTGTGTGATATTGCTAAACTATATCATATGATATAAATATAAGACAAAAACCCATACAGGGGCATTTTTTACCCTCATATCTTGAATTTTAGGGGGATATAATTGCATTTATAGGCTACATCACACAGTCAGTCGTTCTGCATCATGTTTGTCAGTAACTGCTTGCAATGCAATGTAAGGGAAACAGGTCAATTTAGCTCAAAGGGAATCATTTAATGAATGTATGAAGACCAGAGGTTAAGAGGTCTCGCATAAGGAATTTCAGTCTGTTCTCTGTGGTCGAGGTGGGGGAAGTCAATTCCAAAGAGCTCGTGATTGTAGTTACTATCACGTGATGGTCATGCGGTCATCTCTTTGACCATTTAATCTTGATTACTTGCCCTAAAATTGACAATCTCCTTGGAATTGTCAATAAGTGTTCTTTTGTTTAAATGCTGTGAGCTACTCAAAGCTGCTAGTTGGTTCAGGCTTGTGGGGCCAAGATCTGATTTACGAACATCCTGTGTCTTGGGTCTCTGTGGAATTTGGCTCCTCATGTTTCAACCATGTTTTGACCAAATCTTAGATTGTCTGATTCGGTCTGATACCCTACAGCAAGATGACCAAATGAACTTGACAGCCCTACTATTTTTCTTGCCTTTCTTCAATTGCTCGAAAAGAAAACAGAGTTTAAGGTTGTGCAGTGGAGAACAGGTCAGAGGGAGGGGCATACAGACAGACAGAGACACATTAGTCCTAACAGTGCATAGAAAGGTCAAAAGTGAACTTACCTGGTCAGCGATTCCTCCAGGTAGAATGGTTTTGACGATAACGCCAGTGGTTTTACCACCAACAATCCCGAAGCCCAAACCGGTTCCATCGTTCACCAGCTCGATCGTCTCCACGTGAGTCCAGTGGGTCTATAATGGCACAAGCACACAATAAAGGGGGTCAGCTAAAAATAAAAAATAGTTTAAAAAGCATGTTAAAATGCAAGTTCATGATTTTTGCATTCATAGCGGATTCATTTGTTTCTGAAAAATACAAGTTGGAAATGTAACAGTGATTCTATTATTGCCAGCTAACCATCAGATTGCCATAAATCCTGTGGATGTTGCTGCTGCACGTACCCAGCTAACAAAATATGTTCTAGGAGCATTTAGCTAAAGTTCCCATTAAGTTATGAAAACATTATTTCTGAACGCTCCCTGAACATTCAAAACATGCAGTTGTTTTTAAAACGCTTAAAACGTTAGGGGAACATTCTGTTTTACAATTTTGCACCATTATGAGAATGTTACTTTTGAATGTTCTCGGAACATTCTGAAACAAGTAGTAACATTTAAAAATGAACGTTCTATTAACATTGCTGGAGGAACATTTGTTGGTAACTTTGAGAGAACGTTCTGAGAATGTTCCTTGTTAGCTGGGATCAAAATACAACGCTAACAAAAGAGATGTGACGCAGCCAGCCCTGCTCTCCCTCTTTGGAAAACATCTCACAATAATACATGTTGTTCAAGTGACCATAAAATGCCAGTCAGCTGACTGTTGTATTCATCACTCAAGTCCTAATTCGTGGCTCCTGATCGTCTAAGCCAGTGGATGACCATTATCAATAGTGTCCTGAAGGCAACTCACCCACATGAAGGCAGACGAACGCATTGCTGCTGCAAAGACATCTGTGAGAGAGACTCCTTTAGGAGTGGCTCACGACACAGTTACGCTCCTGATGGAATGACACACCAGCGGACACGAATGAAGACTATCAAGTATCACACAGGCACTACAGATCACCTCCCGTGTTTCCATGCTAGTTGATGGTGCTATTCAATGTAGTCTGAATTGCAAAATGTACACCACGGAGCCAGTCTCAGCGGCCATTTAGTGCAGCCACAATAGTTTTGTAGGGATGAAATCATTGATCAAATCAGTGACTTCAATTAGTGTTTTCAGATAGCGTGTTTTGACTGTCTGTGTCTATTTCGTGCACAAAACTTGGAGAAACTACAATAGGTAAACATAGCGCTGGAATAACCATATCAATTTCTGATACTGATTCTTAAATCTCAAGATCGGTCTTTTAGTTTGTGCTGTTTCTGTTGATCCATGAACATCACTTAACATTATTTGTAGCACCTGCCATTCCATAATCACAATAGGCTTTGTGCTTTGTTAATTTTAATAGGAAACAAAGTCTCAGCTTTCAAATTCTGTCAATTTTACCCCAGAATACAAACAATAGATGTGGTTTTGATGCTCTTTAATGTGGCTTGATAGATCCCTGTAGCACCTCTTTTTTCTGTTTCGGTTATCGGCCAAGCGCATCCTGATTTTTCGGTTTCGGCCCACAATTTTCATTTTGGTGCATCACTAGTAAATATACAGTAGAATAAAGATGTCAGAAAAACAAACTTGCGTGACAACAAAATCAGGTCAAAACAAAGTTATTTTGGAGTTCGAAACAGCTTGCCAGTTTGAAGTCCCATTACTCTGTGGTGTTTAAATAATAGGTAGGTTATGCTTGGGGCCTTATTAGTAAAATTTTTGCACATTTTTTTTTCAGAGAGAGCAGGGTGGGACCACAAATCTCAACTCAGACAACTTTTTAAATACAGACTATTATTGTTTTTTACTTTTAACATCTTTGAGTGCTTTATCCTGTTCACAGATGTTAGAAAAAAATAACTTTGAAGTTCAAACAAACTGCAAGATCTCTGATCCCAAAAGGAGAACAGCAGGGGGCCATATCCTTTTATAAAGGGGCTGTGTCACATCTCTATTATGTCTCGCTCCCCACTAAGCGCAGCAGGAATATTCACAGGCTTAGCCATCCCTTGGTGCTTAGGAGACATGAAACAGAACTTTTATACCACTTTCAACACACCTTTTGTCATTCAAGTGGTGTAACCTTCCAAAAAATGTAATCGAATGTTTATGGTGTGGTGATACACTACCATTCAACAGTGTTGAGTGAGAAAGAAAGAAAGAAATTATTAAATTAATAGATTTATTCAGCACTAATACATTAAACTGGTCAAAAGTGACAGTAAATACATTTATAATCTGACACATTAATAATCTGATTTCTGTTTAGAAATAAATGCTGTTATTTTGAACGTTAAATTCATCAAATAATTCTGAAAAACAAACATATTCATATTCGTCAGAACGACTGTTTTCAACATTGATAATAATCAGAAATGTTTCTTGAGCAGCAAATCAGCATATTAGAATGATTTCTGAAGATCATGTGACACTGAAGACTGGAGTAATGATGCTGAAAATACAGCTTTTATCGCAGGAATCAGTTACATTTTACAATATATTATATAATATATTATATAATAACAGCTATTTTAGATGGTAATAATATTTCACTGTGTTTACTGTATTTAGGATCAAATAAATTAGCCTTAGTGAGCAGAAGAAACGTCTTTCAAAAATATTTAAAAAATGCAATTATAACAAACTTTTGACCTGTAGTGTATGTTCATATATGCCTAAACTAATGAAACTAAACGAAAAAAAAAAAAAAATCACCAAGTTCTGAAACAAATGCTCAAAAATGATGTGAAACTTAGGGGAAAATGCCATAAGTTTGATTAATTTAAATTTAAATTTTAATTAAGACTCTTGCCTTATCAAACACCCCTATATGTGACTACAGTGTGTGTGAGTGTGTGTGTGTGTGTATGTGTGTGTCTGAGAGCGTGTGTGTGTGTGTGTGT